AATCTTCTAACTTTATTTTTCCCTTCAATAATAATAATAAAAAGCAACCTTAGGGGTGTTGTGAAGATGAAGGGAGATATACAGTGTGAAAGCCCTCGGTGTTTGGCACAGGGAGGTTGCCTGGTAATTGGTAACTTCTAGCTTCATTGTTTCATAGGTAGTCTCTTATCTCTCTCCTGCAATCCGGTTTGTGCTGATTTTCAAGTTTAACTTTCAGGAGCTCGTCTTATTTATCTTGATTCCAGATTCTAGGAGGAGGCTCCTCCGTGCTCCCGAGAGGCCGAACATGGGGTCTCCAGTACAGCTTTCTGCTCGATGTTTCCTGTTTCTTCTGTGCAATGGAGGAAGACATGTGGCAGGAGCACCCAGTGCTAATATGTGTTCATGTCTGTGTCAATGCCGACCATCCTGCCGGTGTGAACCAGGATAAAAGTGAAGATTTCCTCTGTGAAGACCCAGCTCTTTCTTTGGCTCCTTTGTTGAATACATCTTTGCTCTGCTCTCCTCTGCTGCCCAGGTATGTGGAATATAAACAAGTTACACACATGTCATGTAAATCCATGCTTGTGGAAAATTCAAATAATCCATAACCATATAACAATTATTGTCTTCCTTCACTCTTCCAATGCTCCTCAACCCATCCCATTTATTGATCATTATTAATAGTACTAATACCTAATTAGTATTATTTTGGTATGTATCATTCTAGACTTTTTCCTATGCATTTATATACTTATTTTTAAAAATGATGTTACACTATGCACATTCTTTGGCAAACTGCCTTTTTTAAAAATTTTGAGACCAAGTCTCACTCTGTCACCCAGGCTGGAGTGCAGTGGCGCAATCTTGGCTCACTGTAGCCTCCACCTCCCAGGTTCAAGCAATTCTCCTGCCTCAGCCTCCTGAGTAGCTGGGATTATAGGCGCCCACTATCATGCCTTTAATTTTTGTATTTTTAGTAGAGATGGGGTTTCACCATGTTGGCTGGCAAACTGCCTTTTTAACTTCATGTTGCTTGATCTTTCATGTCAGTACATAAAATTCATCACATATATATATATATATATATATATATATATATTTGAAACAGGGTCTTATTCTGTTGCTCAGGCTGGAGTGCAGTGGCACAATCACAGCTCACTATAGCTTTGACCTCTCCAGGGCTCAACCAATCCTGTCCCACCTCAGCCTTCCAAATAGCTGGTACTGTGGGCATGCACCATTATGCCTGGCTAATTTGTTTTTTTTTTTTTTTAGTGATGAGGTCTCGCCATGTTGGCCAGGGTGGTTTTGAACTCCTGGGCTCAAGTGATTCTCCTGCCTTGGCCTCCCAAAGTGTTGGGATTACAGGCATGAACCACTGCTCCTGACCTCGTCACATTCTTTTAAAATTTTGCATAGTTTTCTGTATATAGATCAATCAGTGTTTACCATGAGAGTATTGATGGATACTTTGCTTTCCAGTTTTTAAATACTAAAAACAAGGTTTCGGTAAATATTTTTGGGTTACAAGCGAGGTAGCTAATTAACATTTTTATAAATATGCCCAGCTCTCCTCCTATAAGTCAGTTTATATTCCTATCCACAGTATGCAAGAAGGCCTGTTTCCATCTATACTCACCAGTATTGTATTTTCTTTAGTCTTTTTACTGTTTAATAATTTTATGATAAAATACTTTATTTTAATTTGTATTTTGCTGATTTTCTGTGAGATTAAGCATGTTTTCAGTTTTTTCATTGGGTCTTCTGAATACCATAAGTGGATATCTTTTTCTCAGTTTTCCATTGAGTTGTTTTTCTTTTTATATTGCTTCATAGGACCTCTTTGTGTATTATCGATTTTTAGTTCTTTCTTTGTTCTTTCTTCCAGTCACTGTTTTTTGGTTGCTTTTTTTGTGCCTTTTGCTATTTACAGAAATTTCAAATTTTATCTAGTTTTATGCTTCCTTATTGTAAAATGTACTCTATTTTATATTTGTAAAGGAGTGTGAAAGTTTAAAAATTACTCAATTTTGGCTGGGTATGGTGGCTCACTCCTGTAATCTTAGCACTTTGAAAGGCCAAAGCAGGCAGATCACCTGAGATCAGGAGTTTGAGACCATCTGATTAACATGATAAAACCCTGTCTGTACTAAAAATACAAAAATTAGCCTGGCGCAGTGGCAAGCATCTGTAACCCCAGCTACTCAGGAGGCTGCGGCAGGAGAATTGCTTGAACCCAGGAGGCGGACGTTGCAGTGAGCCGAGATTGCGCCATTGCACTCCAGCCTGGGTGACAGAGTGAGACTCTGTCTTAAAAAAAAAAAAATAAAATAAAATTACTCAATCTCCCCTGTGGTAAAACAGGTTAATATTATTTACATGTAACAAATAAGAAAAGTTTAGCACATGAAGTTTAAAGGTCTTATTGCAAACTCTAGCTACTTCCAAACCAAGCATTTATTGAATACTTACTATGTGTCTAATGTGTTAGATAATAAAACTTAACATAAAACATGGTCTCTACCTCCATTTGTATGTGAAGCATAATAGTTGCATACACCTTAGAAAATCATATAGGGTATTGGTTAGCTAAGTGCTGAATTTTGTTACAGAAAAAAGTGGCATCAGAATTCAAAAGGAACTAGGTCAAAAGGAACTAGGTCAAAAGCTAGTACCTGAAAAAGGCTATAATGGGAAACTGAAACTGGAGCTTAAAACCTGGAATGTATTGAGTTATGAGTTTATAGAACCTGTATTAGCTTTTTATTTCTGTATAATGGACCACCCCAAAACTCATTGTTTAAAAAAACTGCTCATTTAATTTAGCTCATAATATTACAGGTTGACAATTTTGGCTGGGCTCAGCTGGGTGGTTTTTCTAGTGTGGTCCAAGCCTGATTAATGTTGTCTGAGGTTGCTTGTGTACTTGTAGTTAACTGATAGATTGTGTAGGCTGACTGGTTTATCATAGCCACATCTGGGACAGGTAGGATGATTGGGACCTTTTTCCACATTGGCTCTGAATCTCTTTCAGGCTACTCTGGGTTTGTTCCCATGGTGAGCACAGAGTTCCACGAATTTGAGAATGGGAGCTGTTAGTATCTCCTGAGGCCTCAGTTCAGGGTTGATATGCTTCCATTTGTGTGCATTCTGTTGGTCAAAGCAAGCCATAAGATCAGTCCAGATTAAAGGGATGGGAAAATACACTCTACTTCTTGATGGGAGGATCTTAAATATTATGGCTGTTTTTGCAGTCTACTGCAGAACTCCAATTCAGATTTGTGTTTGTTTACTGATTTAATGCTTGCATTTATGTTTGATGATCCTGTTCAAAAATATTTTTAACAAGGCCAGGTGAAGATAAATAGTAGGACAGTAGAAGTCTGTATACAAATAACATTTTTCCATGGCAGAATGCATATTGGCTTTTTAGAAAACCTTTCTTTCATCCTGTTTCAATTAGGATGGTTAGGAACAGGATATCTGGATTTCCTTTTTTGTTGTTGTTGTTGTTGTTGTTTTCAGTCTGAGCTCACTGCAACCTCTGCCTCCCAGGCTCAAGTAATCTTCCCACTTCAGTCTTCCAAGTAGCTGGGACTACAGGTGTGTGCCACCATGCCCCGCTAATTTTTGTATTTTTAGTAGAAACGGGGTTTTTCTATGTCACCCAGGCTGGTTTCCAACTCTTGGACACAATTGGCCCACTCACCTTGGACTCCCAAAGTGCTGGGATTACAGGAATAGACCACTGTGCCCAGCCTGATGTCTGGATTTCTAAACTGGTCAGAATGAGCTATGATAATCCTGTTCCCGTCTCTACCCACTCATTTTAAAGATAATGAAAGGGTGTTGGGATGTGGTTATTCAATGGTGGTAATAAATGCCATGGTCATAAATGCTGAGTATTAGACTACAATTTATACATGGAGAATTCTTCAATTTAAAAAAGCCGATGTCTAGTCTTGATTTCTTGTGTTAATCTTGGTTTTCAAGTTAGTTGACTTTGCTTGCAATTTCTGGTTTAAATGTTAGTATAAACTCTTCTTACCTAATTCTGGTCTTGTAGGAACAGTCCTAGGAAACCCATCAATTCCTGTTTTTGCTATGTGGAGGTAAGGGGAGGTGGCCAATGAGACCTTTGTCTAAGCTCCTCTTCCTTCTAGTAATCATGAGGCTTCTCAGTTCAGACAATAGGTGTGAGGCTTAGGAATAGACTTATAGACCTGCTGGTTTATGTTTTCGTTTATAAATGTATGGTCTTTTGGCCAAATCTTTAACTCAGAATGAAGCGTGAGTAATGTCTGGGCATAATCTAAAATATTTTTATACAAAGATGACACTTTTTTGAAAATGCGATGTTATTTACTATTATCCTCAGTTCTTTCTTGCTTAACGAACAGAGGCACCTTGAAAGTTCGATATATTTATACATAAAGCCTAATTTCCTCTGATTCTTGTACATGTACAAAATGATGCTAATTAAAAGAAATATGCTGTTCAATAAAGGAACAGTGTATGATGAGGGAGCCGTCCGTGAATGCTGGAGCCAGAATCTTGTTTAAATTAAGAGGATGTCTGCTAAGTTAAGACACCCCACGGAGATGTATAAGGCCAGAGCTTCCAGCAGTCCATACTGTCTTTATTGAGAGACATATTTATATCTTCCAGACTAGTAATTAATCACTCAGTGGGGTTTTCTTGGGGGGAGTTGTTCACTCACAGAGAATCTTTTTGTACTGCCAGGAACCACAAAGCATGGGCACAATTAAAATGCTGATTCAATTTATTATATTGAAGCATGGAACAGGAATGTTTAAATGATGTTGACAGGGCCAGAATTTCAAACCGCCTTTTTAAAAATAGAAAACAAATGCCTATCCCCTTAAATTAAATTATATTAATAACACGTCTCTTATAAGTTGCTTGGAAGCAAAATAAAGCTCTTGACATTAATTAAAATTTGAAGATGTATCATTTGTTGTTAATGTGCAGTCTTTGTTAGGGGAAATACATTTCAGAGTGATCTATTTGTAAAAATTAAATGGGGAAAATTGCCTATTGAGCACGTCAGTTAATAAGGCTGCTTTTCTTAGGAATGTGGATTTTTAAGTAACTAAAATGTTTTTATACTGCAATAATGGTTTCTATTTTTTGATTCTCTCAAAAATTGTCTCTGTTACTTGAATTTTGATATTTCCACATAGAATTCCATTGTCAGGGGGCTTATAAGCTCTAAAAACCAGGAAAGCCTTCATATATTTTGGGGTGTTGGGTAACATACATTTACAATGAGAATTTCATCTGAAATTGATGTGGTTAGGCACATGGACGTCCTCCAAATACCTCGGCAGGACCAGGAGCCATAGGGCCCCATTAGCAGCCTTTAACTAGCTCTCCTCTAATGAATGCGATGTTCTGTGTTTTGAAATTACACTTTACTGGTTTCACACGAACTAGAAAATTTCATGAGATAATGGGATAGCTGTTGCCTTTTTGTACCCCAGCGACTGAAGGTAATAGAGTCACCTCTGTTGAGGCTATCACATGCAAATAATTTTCTGAAAAGCTATACATCTCCAGGGTCATGGAGGAAAGGCTGTTTTTTTACCCTGGTTTAGGTTTCATTTTCTTTTGGTGATGGCACAAATGCATTTGACTTGGGTTTTCAAAGTTGATATCTAACAGAACTCTTAGACAATGTTAAAAGAATGTGTTCTTCAGTGAATGCAATAAAAAAACCATCAGTGATGCATGTCGTCCATCACCCGCTTCTTACCATCTTTGTGGAGCTTGATAGTCGAACTGTGGCATGGAGACTGACTAACCTCTGTTGGTCTTGAGAATTCAGAGATAGAAGTGTAAATGGAATGGAAGAATGGAGTCATTTGTCTACGTGTGTCTCCCCACTGCTTAAAATGAAAGGAATCATAGTGAAGTCAATATTTATTTTTATGAACATTTATATGGTATGAGTTTTCTTTTGGGAAATGTCCCTGTTTTTGTGGAAAAATTCTTATGACTTAGGTAATAAATAATAATGAATGATTGTTGATGTTATAAGAATTGTTTTTCTCTCCTCCCTTTACTCATTCCCCTGCATCCATTTAATTACCAATTCCTGTGGATTCTACTCTTTGATATCTTAATGTTACACTTCCCTTACCCTTCCTGACCCGAAGGGCCCCCAAACCCCTATCACTGCAAACACTGACTTATTCATATGCTCTGTTAGAGGGCATGAATCACATCTGATTTGAGATGGCCAGGGTCTGGAATATAGTATATGATCAGTATATATTCAATGTATTAATGAAGGTTTCCATATAAATCATTTAATTCAGTCATTCTCAATGGGGCAGAAGAATGGGTGTGTGTGTTATTCCTCCCCACTCACCACCCCAGCATTTGGCAGCATCTGTAGACACTTTTGGCTGTTACAACTGAACTGGGAAGGCAGTGCATGTATATGTGTGTGTGTGTGTGTGTGTGTGTGTGTGTGCACGCGCATGTGTGTGCATGCATGCTGCTGGCATTGTGGTCAGAGGCTGGACCTGCTACTAAGCATTGTACAGGGCACAGAATCACAACAAAGAATTACCTGGTCCCAAATACCAACAGTGCCAAGTTTGGGGAACTCTGCTCTAATTTGATTTCAAAATATCTCTTTTGAGTAGATAAACAGGTAGCAGAAGTTTCTTTACTCTAAATATGAGAAAACACACGAGGAGAGATTAAATGCCTTAATCCAAGTCCACCTAGCCTAAGGTAGTCACAGAACCAGGAATTCAACTCTATGCCCTTGCTTCCAAATCTAGATAATAACTAGACTATTTCAATCAGTAAGATGATCCCTGTGACTTAAAAATAGTATCTGAACAATTACCTTATATTTGAGCCTTAGAAGTCTGTTCTCAATCTACTCAAAAGTAATATACAGGAATTAAGGCAGAAAATATTTTGTATGCTCATTTGAAAGACATCTCCAAGAGAGATTCCTTTAGATCTTGTATAAACTATTTGAATCTGCTAGGCTTACATTTTTCCATAGAGAGTAAATTTCTTTAGTGAAGTGAGTTAATTCATCCGTGATCCCATTGACACTGTTCTGAAAGATTAACATTATTAAATATTTTTGTATTATTAAAACTGAAGGCTGAAATGTCTGAATTGACCATTAGGTATTTGAGCGAATGCCTAATTAATTTTTAACGTAGTACTTATTTACATTCTGGGAACAGTACATGTAGCACAGCTGCTTCAAGTGCATAAATCTGTTTAGCACCTGAGTTATAGATTTGAAAAAAAACTATTGTGTGTCTGTGCCTAGACCACTGTATATTGTCGGGCCATTGCCTTTCTAGAAATAGCAGTAGAGATGGATGAGGGAAGATGCAGATTTGGGTAATTAAATCAGTCAAGGGGAAAAAACAGTTGATTTAAACAAAAAAGAGAGGTCTGGTGTACAAGAATGTTTCCAATATACAAGACTCTGCGGGAGAAACAAAGACATTCAAGACATACTCTCTTTTCTTAAGGAATATTTACATGGTAGGTGACAGGTATGTACATATCAAAACTAATTACTGAAATATGGCAGTGTGAGGGCTGAGTGAATGTCAGTAGCAGGGAACACAAAAGGGGAAAAGTATTTTATATTGGTAAGTTTTTGGCAGGAATTAGCTGACAGGAGATTCAAAATATACATTTAATCCAAATTGGAAAATATAAGTCATGGGCCTTGGTTGAAAAATATTTCATATTAGATTATTCTAGATAAGGTATTTCTTTAAAAATTTTGTTTTATTGATATATCATATTTGTACATATTTATGGGGTACTGTGATTTTTTTTTTAAACTGCATAGTACTGATCAAGTCAGGACTTGATCATTAGGGATTTAGGATGGACATCATCATAAGCATTTATCATTTGTATGTTAAGCACTATTTCTTATTTTTTTAAATAGATAGAGAAACATAACTCTTTTCTGTCCACATCTTCTTTGTGATATTTGGATGCTATTCAAAAAGTAAACATCTTTTTGGAAGGATTTTAATTACTCTTTTTTTTTTTTGACATGGAGTCTTGCTCTTTTGCTGGGCTGGAGTTCAGTGGCATGATCTCGGCTCACTGCAACCTTTGCCTCCGTGTTCACACAATTCTCTTGCCTCAGCCTCCCGATTAGCTGGGATTACAGGCCTGTGCCACTACACCCAGCTAATTTTTTTGTATTTTTAATAGAGACAGAGTTTCACCCTGTTGGCCAGGGTGGTCTCGATCTCCTGACTTCGTGATCCACCCACCTTGGCCTCCCAAAGTGCTGGGATTTCAGGTGTGAGCCACTGCACCCAGCCAGTATTCTTTAATATTCTTTCTGTATTGTCAAGTTCTTATCTTTACAGGCACTGATATTTTCTGGATTCCTTAGGGCTCTATGCAATATCACGACATAATTTTAAGTACTTTTTATATAGAAATTATAAATGTCACTTGAAGTAGAATTTAAAGAATATTTAGAAGAATACATCGCTTCTCGGCCTTTTGGCTAAGATCAAGTGTAGAAGAATACAAAATATCTTTATTTCTATCCTGCCTTTCAATGTCATCCTTGACTTTGCATGTAAACGTGGTTTTTGAAAGTTGGGATGGGTGCTGGCTATTCCAGAATAGCTGAGTCAAAAAATTGAAAAGATAGTCTTAGAGATAGATATAGATATCTTATTTGTTTAGTGGCAGGCTGGAGTGCCGTGGCACAAACCCAGCTGACTGTAGCCTCAACTTCCTGGGCTCAACTGATGTTGCTTCAGCCTCCTAAGCTGGGACTATAAGTGCATGCCACTATGTTCAGCTATTAATTTTTTTTCTTTTGCAGAGAATGAGTCTTACCATGTTGCCAAAGCTGGTCTTGAACTTCTGGGCTCAAGTAGTTCTCCTCTCAGCCTCCCAAAGTGTTGGGATTACAGGCATGAGCCATCTTATCTGGCCTAAAGTTTTCAAAATTATGAAAAAGACTATACAAGTAGAAAATTATACTTGAGTTCACAGTAGAGAGGAAAGCATTTGAAAATTATTCCCATGGGTGCCAGAAGAAATAAAATTGCTAACTGACAGCACTTCTGCTTTATCGTTTAAAATCCAAATTAAGTAAGTATGAGATTGAATCATTTTGGCCAAGAAAAATGGCAATTTCATGGTAAATCTAACAGTGGCTAAATATGCTGGAAATTTAGAAAACACCAATTTAAAAATTAGCAGTGGGGCTGGGTATGGTCGCTCATGCCTATAATCCCAGAAGCATTATGGCTATATTAACAAAACATTATGAATACATTAACACAGATATCACATTCATAAAAAAATGTGTCATACCGCAGAATACCAACATTTGTAAAGGTTAGACTAGAGGCAACCGGTTAGTGTCTGTCTGATTCATAGCTGAGTGCAATGATACTTCATTTAAAAATTATAAATTTGAGAAATCTAAATTTTACTGAAAAAAAACAGGTAAGTTGGTTATTTCATCCCCTAAATCTTGTTAAAATATCTTTCAGTCCAGCTTGTTTAAAGTTCTGCATTTAGCAGGAATGTTTGAACATATTATTCAGAAAAGCAAAATTAAACAGACCTCAAGGTGACATTATTTTACACTAAGATATTATACAAATATTTTTTTAGCTCATGGAATATGACAGCTGAAAGGATTCATTCTAAATTTCAGACAAACATGTCTAAATTGTAAATAATAGAAACTGGTTTCTAGATCACTTGAAATCTTTTATTCAGTTGAATAAAAGATCCCTTTAAATGGGGCCAGTGTTATGCAGGACTGTGAAGTAGGCAATGGTTATTTTCTAGCTGGTTTCAGGCCCTCCGTTTTATATTGTTTAGTGTCTAATTCTGTCAAGATCTACTTTCAGAAGGGAATCAGTCCAGATGTGGTGGCTTATGCCTGTAATCCCAGCACTTTGGAAGACTGAGATGGGAGAATCACTTGAGGCCAGATGTTCAAGACCAGCCTGGGAAACATGGT